ATTTCAGATGGTGGAGTTATTAAAAACACAGAATTTTATAAGTCTTTAGAAAATAAGACTTTGATGATACCCGAACCAACATATTTGAAAAATGTGGAAAATAAACTGCCATATGTTTTTGTCGCTGACGAGGCATTTCAACTAAAAGATAATATTATGAAACCTTTCAGTGGTATTCAACAAAAAGGCTCAGTTCAGAGATCATTTAATTATCGGCTTTCGAGAGCCCGCCGAGTCGTGGAAAACGTTTTCGGAATTTTATCGGCAGTATTTAGGGTTTTACGAAAACCGATGTTGTTAGAACCTAATAACGCGGAGACAGTAGTTTTCACGTGTATTTATTTACATAATTTTTTAAGAAAAAAAGAAATTTCAAACAGTGGTTTTACATATGATGAGGAAAAAGATGGAAATATTAATGAAGGTACTTATAGGCAAGATAATATTGATATGGGATCTTTTAATCCATTACCAAGAGTCGGACGAAAACCCACAAGAACAGCTGAGGAGATAAGACTCGAATTCGCCAAGTATTTTTTTCAGAACGTTTACCGTGGCAAGATAATTATGAGTAATTGTTTATTGAATAGTATTGTTTTATATTTTATCAAAATCATCAGGAATTTTACTTATTAGTACTACGAGTAAAGATTTTTTCGTTTAAACTTGTGTAACCTTTTATGTTAAATAATATTTGATTTATTTTATATTTTGATTGATGGTTGTTTAAATATATTAAAAATTAAAATAAAAATTTGTAAGAAATTACTAATCACAAAATACTATATAGACATAGGTACACGATATACTGATATTCAGCCTGTGTCGATACTTACTATTTGATTTAATATATTCATCGAATCTTTTGTTTGCCTGGGTTTATATTTCTCCTTCAAGAATTGCATTTCATTGAATGCAAACCATTTTGATTTATACAAATCATCTGTGCCTCGACAATAAGACCCTTGAAGGCTTTCTATTTTTTTTTTAATATTGGTCACATCTGTGTTCAACTTAGTGGCGATTTCTTGCCAATCGTCGAATTTTATTTTATTATTTTTATAATTTTTATCCAGTGGATCCCAGGGACTTCTTTTTTCTCTATACAACTGTATGAGTTCCAAAGATTTGCAATCTGGCCACTCCATGTATGCAAAAACTACTAAGTACTTATAAATTATCAAAATAGTAAAATAATAATAGTTTACAATAGCACTTAAAAAACTTAATAAACACTTCACAGTTGACGCAGTAATGCCGAAATGTGAACGCACGACAACATTTGATCGAACGGCGTCCCAACCAAAATCAAATTTCTTTTGATGTACCGCTACCAGAGCGAACAGGGCCGCACACGTACGAATGGTGTTCGTACGCAAACGGAACTTGTCTCGACCAACTCATATTATCGTCCGTTCGAACGTACGAAACCGTTCGTGCGGCCGTGCGTTTTGGTGGAGACGCACCTTAACACGCTTATCGTTATTTTTTCGTTTTTAACTTTATTATAAATATTCGCGCAATATACATTTGGTAATAATTCTTGTTTATTAATTAATATATTTTTATTATTCATTGCCTTATCTGCTATAGGTATCGATTTGCACTACCGTTTCCGAACGTGGTTGCAATGTAAAACAAATATTATTATCGTTCTCTATTTTGCTTTCATTTATCGTAATTGTATTATTCGCATCATTTATTATTACGTGGTTATCTATCAAAAACTTATTGCCTATTATTCCGTCGCCGGATATCGGAAAAATTTTACTAACTACATAAAATTCTGTTCCAAATGCTATATTATCTATAATTAAATCTATTTCGGTCTTTCCTATTGTGGACACTTTTTTTCATTGATTCCCTTTAAATAAATTTTTTCTTTTTCATTAATTTCAGTATCTCCCTTTAAAGCGTTAATTTTTATAATGTTCAGACCGCGCCCGTGTCAACTAACAATTTAATTTGGTCTTTATTGAAACTTGGCGATTTTAACGTAATATGATTATCTACTAATCGAGTTGTGATGTGGAAAATTGGTTTTGTGGGTCTTGTAATATCTCTTGGACTAACCTCACGCCCACCTGAGGTTGTCCCCTGAAGTTTTTTGAATTAGTTTTCTCATTTTTCTGTTTTGTAAAACAGTTCGCAATTTCATGTCCTACCTTATTACAAAAACTGCAATGCACATTTTGTGCGCTATTATTGCCCGTACGATTATTACTATTCCCAATATTACGCGCGCCGTTGCCGCGATTATTATTGTAACGATTCTGAATGTACGGACCACTCCTTTCTCCGCTAGTCCGCGCCACCAATACCGCTTGCCCGCGTACCGACACGACATTTCTCTCGCGGACTAACGGTAGATAGCGCTCAAGGACCACTCATCATAGATCCGACTGGGGATCGCTGATTAAGGGTACAATTGGTCCCTCCAGGGGGGATTAATTGTGGCAAACTAGTAAGGGCATACATTATGAACAGATTCCTATGTCCATCCAAACCCATATCGACCCGGAAAACCCTCAGCGGCATCGAAACAGGTATGTTGTCATTCACTCGGCTGACAGTCGGGAATGAGCGCAACAGCACATATAGGTAGGCCCGACGGCCGGCTCACCGATTCCGTTTTTCCGACCAAAATACTGGTAGGAATAGACACCACCGTCTAGAGTCGTGGGTAAGGCTGTAAAACCCCTTACTGTCCGACTGCCTGGTACCGTGCCTATTCCCACCAGTAGTCGTAACCTTCTTTTTTCTGCGTACGTATACGCATATAGACTCTTTGCTTTCCGACCATATCAAACGGCGTAATGTAACAGTCCGGGTACGGCATTAATACCCCGTACTTACGATCGCTATACTACGATACGCGATTTGGTCGATGTGGAAAGAGTCTAGTAATTAACACACTCTTATCGCTCAGAGAAGACGTGCGTTGGGCCAGCCCGGCCCATTTCGAAATTTTGGAAAATTTTTTCACCAATATTTAGCATGCAATTAGCATGAATTTGCACGACTCAAATTAGAATTTTTATGATATTGGTTTAACGGTTAAATCCAAAATTTGATGGGCCGGGCTGGCGCAACGTTGCGCTAGCCCGGCCCAATAGAAAAAATATGGATATCGAATATATAAATATACCAATATTTAGCACGACATTCGCATGAATTCGCACGACTGACAACAGGATTCGCACGACAATTTTTTATGGGTAAAAAACCGTTTTACTGTTTTTACCGTTGCGCCAGCCCGGCCCATTGTAGACATTTTGCGAATTTTGCTGTTTTGACTGTACCAATATTTAGCACGCCATTCGCATGAATTCGCACGACTGTCGCCAGAATTCGCAGGACATTTTTTTATGTGTAAAAAACCGTTTTAGTGTTTTTACCGTTGCACCAGCCCGGCCCATTATATACATTTTGCGAATTTTGCTGTTCTGACTGTACCAATATTTAGCACGCCCTTCGCATGAATTCGCACGACTGTCACCAGAATTCGCACGACAATTTTTTATGTGTAAAAAACCGTTTCAGTGTTTTTACCGTTGCGCCAGCCCGGCCCATTATATACATTTGTGCTGGAAGTACCTATTATTTTCGATGGAGGACGTACGGTTAGATTAGATTATGATACGTATGACTATGGTTCTGAATTTGAAATATTTCAATTGAAATTATTCATTTGCAATATTTCGAAATTGAAAATTACACTCTTCTTTAAATATTTCAATGTAATTATGAAAATATTTTTTCTACTTTAAACGTGTTCGGTTATAGATGATTAGAAATAATATATTAATTAGTAATTACACTCAGAAAACATTGATAATTAATAAGTTATCAGTTAGGCATATATGCTAACGCCTTAACGGTCAATGGTTATACTTATACATTTATAATTATTATATTATATGGTATATACCATAAGGTGGGTTTACTTTGATAATTAATTTTCAATTATTTTAGTTTTATACTTATTGTACTAATAACCAACTGAAATATATAATATTTAATTATTAATAATTATTCTACATTATACCTTTAACTGAAAATTTCACAAACCAAATTTTTTTTTTACATTTTTACATTAGTTATAACTAATATAGTTATTGATCAAACTTACCCACCTTTTGGGGTGACTTTTATCGCACCCCTGAAAATGCGTTTAAACATAGGTACAGTCATCAAATTGATCATTCTCGCCCCCAAAAAAAATCGGTTCGGTAAATTTTGAGTTATTGAGTTTCTAAGTTTTGGGGTGACTGGTCAGGTATCAAAAAAGTTCTTTGAAATACCTATGCATTATTATAAACAAATTGTATTGTTTATGTTATAACAATTTTACCTTCAGTATATATTAGACATAACTTAGTAGTTGGTATACTAAATACCTGACTAATTGCCAATTGGTATTATTGTATTAATAATGTGATTATATTTTTATATTATCGGTTATTACTTATCACTTCATCAGTTATCAATTAAATCCCTATTGTCTATTAAATTATTATTATTATTTATTACTTTATCAGTCATGTTTTTTGGAGCCAAACATTTTTTTAATGAGTTGTAATTTTGTAAAATATTGTTGTATGCGAACCGTCAGCGATCCAAAAGATGATGGTTTGAAAATATAAAGTTTAAGTAAATTTCAATAAAGAATGAAAATATGTAATAATAGTGTATTTTCAGTAATTATAAAGCGTACAGTTTAAAATTATTACATCATAGATTTGTTAAAAAAAACTTTTATATGATATGTAAATATGTTCTAATATGCAAAAAATTAGATTGCAAACCAATACAGACCAGCTAAAAACGAATGGTTAAAAAAAAATCAAATTTGGGGGGGGGCTGGATAAATGAACCTAAAAAAATTCTGAAATAATAAACCAATTCTTGTTTATTGCTAAATATATAAAATAATAATTATAAAAGTTAAAAGTTAAAATAATGGCTATTAATAATAAAAGGTACAACAAAAAAAAACGTCAAACTGTATATATCAAAAATTCACACATTATTGTTGTTGTGTCCTTCACTGGAACTGGTTTTTTTTTCATATCATCGAAAAGTTCCCATTGACGACCACTACTTCTTTTTGCATATGCTGTGTAATGCCCCACTGAAGTTCTTAGGCCACTCTTTCCACGATGAAAACATATGGCACCACGTGGTTGATAAGTTGTTGTTCCATGAATCAACAACAGTGGAATGTCTCTGAGTTTAACTTTTAATAAATTAGCTGCTTCACTGCTCCTTTGGGTAGATATAATATTTTCTCCTATAAGTTATGTTTAAATAATTTGTGATTATCATTACATGAAGGTTATTAATATTTTTATATACCACTGATTACCTTCCCAGATTAAAACGTCTATAAACAAATGCATATTCGATATAGCTGATGTAATAGTCTTCTTTCCAGAACAATGCGGAAAGCAATTCATATCGTGTATTATGGCTGTGCGGTCATTAATAAATTGCTGTGGATTACTTATATTATTTTCGAAATCGATTTGAAATGTTAAATAGATGAATTTCTTTTCAGAATTATTTTGACAAACCTTAGAAGAACATGTTACATATTCTTTTAAGAATGGATAATCTCTTAGCAATTTAGTAATCACTAGACCAACAGTAGAGTCGCATACGGCCATAGTGGTGTTGTACTCCAATGGACGAATTTCTGGTTCCAAAAATTGTATGATCAAATCTGCGGTATCATGTCTTTACGCCGACGGTATCAACGCCGACGGTATCTACGCCGATAGCATCGACGCCGACGGTATCTACGCCGACAGTATCTACGCCGACGGTACCTAAGCCGACGGTATCTACGCCGACTAGTATCTACGCCGACGGAAAAAATGCCGACGAGTATCTACGCCGATAGTAAATACGCCGATGGTATGTTTTTTTACAAAACGAATGTGTTTCTATGGGACTAATATAAGAATAAAAATTAACTAATATGAAACTGAAAATTTTGGAAAATTAATTATGTTATTAAATAATTAAAAATAAAATAAAACTCGTTGTTGCCTGGTTTTTTTTAATAATAAATATTTTTTAGCTCTGAAAAGAGCCTTTTTATGTCCTAAAAAGGACATTTTTTAAAACAACGAGTGGACCCTAAACTTGGACATTTAACAAGATTGGAATTGAAAATTATGAGCAATTCCCTGCAAATGATCGGAGGTGTCGCGATTCCCATCGTCTTTAACGATTTCTTTAATTCGCAATGCTGTGTCTCGATAACACCGTCGTCCCTGTGCTGGTGGTAATCTAGCAATGTACTGGTTGATTTGGAATTCATTAGGCTCTGCTGATTTTGCAGACCCTCAATGAATTTCCAAATAGATGGATGATTTGCTCATAAAAGAGAGCTGAATCCTCGATGCCAGCCTTCAACGGCGTTGTTAGTTTTGGGTACATCATTCAACGATGCCTCGTAACAATTCCAGAGTCTCAGCTTAAATTTAGGAAGCATTCTTCCAAGGCCGATTCGTCGGTCAGTTCGATTCTAACATTCGGTCTTGTAAGAAGTCAAAAGCAACCATGCCACTTGAATTTGTTTTAAGCCAGAAGGGCAACCAACAGTTGATCAATAAAGGTTTTGTGTATACCACGGACAAAATCAAAGAAGACAAACACATACCCATAACTGTGTAATCGAGACACAGCATTGCGAATTAAAGAAATCGTTGAAATCTATGGGAATCGTGACACCTCCGATTATTTGCAGGGAAATGCTCATAATTTTCAATCCCAATCTTGCTAAATGGCCAAGTTTAGGGGGCACTCGTCGTTTTAAAAAATGTCCTTTTTAGGGCATAAAAAGGTTCTTTTCAGAGCCAAAAAATATTTATTATTAAAAAAAACTAGGCAACGACGAGTTACGTATTTTAAATTTATAAATTTAGTAACATTCGGATTACTTCGTATACGATAAACTAATAATTCAAGATCATTTGAGCATTTTTGAAAATTCATTTTTGATGAAATTAAATAACTTATACAAGTTTATGAAAAAAAAAAAAAAAAATGTAGACTCATGTCCTAGTTGACTATGACACTGGATGTATCATTAACATACTTACTTATTTCTAAATTCTAAATCCAACGCCTTAGTCCACTAGGCCATGAGTCTACAAGTTAATTAATTGATATTTGTACATATAAGTTAAAATAATGAAAAATAAAAACGAAAAAAAAAAATATATATTTGTAGAAAAAAAAAATAATAATAAAAGAACACATAATAATAATCATTGATGTGTAATTGAGTAAAATATCTTTTTTTAGTAAACATTTTCCCGGGGTCGTCACTGACACCGCAAGCGGAAAAGTTGTGGATGAACGTTTTTATATTCCCCTGTAACTAATAAAAACTTGGATAGAAAGACCCCACAAAACTGATTGCTCAAGCGCAAAAGTCGTGGATAAACGGTTTTAAATCTCCCTGTAACTGTAAAAACTTGGATAGAACCTACTTATACTACCTACTCACCGATTAAAAGCTAACTAAACAGGGTTTTATTTCATAGAAGGCAACATTTCTGAATATTGGCATTAACCTTTTTTTTTTTTTTTATCAAGTTTGTTGTTATCAATTGTTATCAAAATCGGAAAATCTGTAACCGTCCCCACCATGACGACGGGAATTTAACAACTAAAGGTGGGTTTCCAATACACCGTGAACCGTGTTCCGTTATCGTGCACGTACAATTCTGGAAATGGGCGTGACGTTTCTCACGTGACGTGCAGTTTCTTGGTTACTAATGGTAGTAGTTTAATACCACTTCGGTATTTAACATATCCTAATCTAGAAAGTTTTTTTTGATAATCATCCATAGATTCCCACTTGTTTTTAAAATTTGATATCGAATTCCACGTTTCCATCATTTCTTTTTGAAAGGAAATTCATTTTGAGTGCATTTTTTGTTTTATATTTCAGGATGAGTTTAAAAAGAAAATTAGCCGCTTATCATTATGATTTACATCAATACAGAAGAAAAGTTGTGATTTTACATTTACTGCACATTGAAAACATGAAAGGTGTTTGTAGGTAAGTGTCTGTATTATAAATTAGTTATAATGCATGGCCTAAAATACATCTTATTTCAGGGGACATACTCTTTAATTCAATTTTTACCATTGACAGATTTCCATAAACAAATAAACCTGTGGAGACTGTAGAGCCCAAAGGCCAAAATGCAATCACCCTTATATATAACACTTACCTAATACATTTATATTATTTATGTACGACTTTTGTATAAAAATAAAAGTAAAAGTTTAAAATATTTTACTAATAGTAATATAAAACAACCTTAAATGAAAAGTTTAATAGATAACTTTTATAGTTATGTTAAATCATTAAAAACAGTAACTAAAAACCCATAAAGGTATAACCTTTTTTTTTAATAGTGAATTAGAATCTGTACTAAATGTTGTCCAATAGAAACATAAATCAGAATTTTTTTTTAATATATTTGTAGGTAAGTACAAAATTCATCATTAATTAAAATATAATTTATGTAACTTAGGTAATAATTTTTAAGGATATTTAATTTTTTTTAAAAAGCAAATTTGATTATGCTTTGAAAAAATAGTACTTATTAGCCTTAATAGTTTTATTGAACTGATATAGTGCTATACCTATAATATTATATTATATGCAAAGGTGGGTATTAACTTGTTAAAAAGTTAATTTTTTTTTAAATTTTTAACTTAACTAGGTAGTTCGTTTTTTTCCTAATCAACTTTTGAACTTAACTAGTTTAATTGACACTTGAAATAACTTAACTTTTCACAGTTGAATTAAAAATACTTTTTAAATACTTTTAATAATACTACCCGTTTAAATTAATGATGCCTATTTGTATAAAATTAATAACAAGGAAGTTGTTCTCAATTTATATTGAAATAAAAATTGTAATACATTTGTGTTGAAATTCCAATATGTTTGTTTTCTACAATTAAAACTTAAAACACGTAATAAAATTTGGTACATACATTTGTAATTCAGGGGACATATTTTGAGGTTCAGGGCCCAGTATTTTAGGTTGCGTTATAATGTACATACATTTAAATGTATTAACATTGGCATTAAATTATGAAAACAACATGTAAACATTTTAAATGTATTACTTCAACTAAAAAATGATTAATATATGGCCAAACCAAGATGGCACATACGTCCATTATTTCAGGAGAGAGAATTACATGGTCATTATCATTGTTTTACAAGAGAACTGCAATTGTATAACTCAGCTTTATATTACAATTTTATGCGTATAACTTCTTCTACTTTTGAAGAATTAGTAATTCTTGTTTCTCCCAAACTCCAAAGAAATCCGATTAGAAAGGATATTCTTTCAGTTGGAGAAATTTTAACTGCTACATTAAGGTTAGAAAATAACGATTGATAGCATGGTATCAATTATGTATTCTTTTAGAATTGGAAAGGCAACTATAACGAAAATAATATATGAGTGCTGTACAGTATTGTGGGATACACTATATAAAAAAGTAGGTACTATAAATAAACTTCGTTGACTTTGATTATTAAAATTAAATTTTATAATAATATATAGGTATTATTGCAACCAACTAAAAGTATCTAGATTAAAGTTGCAAAAGAGTTCTATGATCAATGGCAGATGCCTAATTGTTGTGGCGCTTTAGACGGAAAACATGTAGTGCATCAAGTTGGTATTTTATTATAGTTATCCAAATAATTTTCATATTTAATAATATTTTACACATTGTAGGCATTTGCAAATAGTGGATCAACTAACTTCAATTACAAAGGATCTCACAGCACAGTTTTATTAGCCTTGTGCGATGCTAATTACTATTTTACCATAGTAGATATTGGTTCTCCTGGCCGTAGTGACGGAGACATATTTAAAAAATTCACATTAGGGAAAGCTATACTGGGAAAAAAAATTGATTTTCCAGAACCCAAAGAAATTGATACTGTAAATGGAAAAATACCCTACTTCATAATTGCAGATGAAGCTTTCCAACTAATGGAAAACATTATGAGACCATATCCGGGCCGAGGGAAAGCACATCTTCCAATAAGAGAATCGGTATTTAACTACAGGTGATTAATTATTGTTATGTATATGTAAATTAAACTGTTTTATCTAAAAATATTTTAAGAGTTTTGTATCATATTTTAGACTATCACGTGCTAGAAGAGTGATAGAAAATACGTTTGGGATATTGGCATCTAAGTGGCGTATATACCGTCGACCTATAATTGCAGGAGAGAAGACTGTAAATGCAATTATTAAAGCTACAGTAGTTCTGCATAATTTTATAAAAATGTCAAAGATAGAAAAGGTTTGTTTAAGTTATTAAATTGCTATGATTCAAATACAAGTATAAATAATAGAATATGTTTATGGAAAATAATACTGTAAAAGCCAACTATAATGATTTTTATTATTTAGGAATTAATTCATATTCTTCAAATTCTGACTATCAAAATAATGAATCAGGTGCATTGCAAATTATACGACCAATGGGATCAAACAATAACTGTCAAGATGCAAGGAATATCCGCGAAAAATTGAGCAACTACTTTTTAGGTGAAGAGGCACTAGAATTTCAATATGATCGATCATAATTGAATTTGAATACATTTATTAATTGTACTTATTATTATGTAATTATTATTTAATTTATAACATTTATTTATTTAATACAATCTTTGTCCGTTTATTTGAAAACTGTATAACATAATAACATATACTAATAAACTTAACACATGTATATATATATATATATAAAAATGAAACCTTTAAACTTTTTAAAAATTAATAAGTAAGAAAACAAAATTCAAAATCTTTTGAAATAAAAAATTATTATTATAATGCGATTCATGTTACTCATATTAATCTGAATCTTGAGCATTGACAATTATAGAAATGACTTTACACTGTAATTTTTTCCTATTTCTTTTTGGTACTTCCTTTATAAGTGATACCACGTATTTCCCAAAATCAACATCAAGATCGTATTGTAGTTCTTCATTTAGTTCTGGATGTTCTGGTAAAGTAGGTCTTGTCAATTTCAACTCATTCAGCAAGTCTCTTTGGAAGTCATTTTCATTTTCTAGAAAAAATTTTATCTACGTTACTGCATTTGATATTATGGTACTAGTTTAGTTGACGTCCACCAGTCCGTGTATGCTCCCGTCACTTAAATATATTTTCGATGCGCAGAAGAATAATACAAAAAGTATATAGGTACTACATGTCGAAAAGACAAAGGTGTGAAGACCAATAATTGGCTACAAAGTTCTAAGGAACTAACTTATATATGGTTGAACTTATTCTTTAATATTATTCACGTACCTATATACTTAATTTTTCCTATTATTGTATTTGTTATTTTATTATTGTTATAATTATTTTTGATTACATGAGATATATGTCCCTTTTTTTTATATGCAATATAAAATATGGTAGACTTAAACAGATGATTTAGCACATCGAAAATATGAGAGATATAAGAGGCGGGAGAATATGCAGGCTGGCTGGCGGGCGTCAATTAAATCAGTACCGATATTATATTATAAAAACTAACCAAAGCACATATAAGTATTGTATACACAGCATAATATAATATACTTATGACATATAATTTCAAATTTACGTACTTGATTTTCTTTTTTGTCCTTTGCTTGTAATTACACACTCAGAAGAATCGTCGGTATCATTATTGTTTTCTAAGTTACTAGTAATCCTATAAGTATTTTGATTAAAAATTAAGTAATTTAATAATTATGTACCTACATGTATTATAAGCTAAATAGAATTCTTACTTTTTATCATGTGTTACAACATCTTCCAAAAACGACAGTTGAATGTAATGTAACCTATTTTTTTGTATACCTCCTTTAGCTCCACTTTTTGTTTTTTGTCTTTCCAGTACAAACTTTTCTCTTAAATATCTTCATTTTTTTTTTTTTTTTGACTCTTCAATAGTTATCTGACCTATACTAATAATAAAAATAACATTAATCCTTATGTTTACATGGTTTTACATCATATATTACAGGTGTATAATACCTAATATGTGAATGTTTAAGTATATTTATTTAATTGTTTTGTAGAAAATTAATATTATAGTGTATATTGCCACCTTGTAGTTCAATATATATTTCATTCCATAGTTTGTTTTTAATTACTTCAGACCTTTTTGATAATGACAGCCTATGGTCATATAATGGACGACAAACCTCAATAGCACTGATCAAATTTGAATGTAATTTTTCTGATTCATTTTCTTGGTCGGTGTCTTGGTTAACCATCCAAACTGTATAGTACCTACTATCGTCATCCTCAAGGTTATCACATTTTTCTGGAATAATATTTTTGGATTTGATTAAAAAAGTAATGATAAACATAACCATAATTATTTTAAACACATCAATGATAATTCAATATCTAAGTGATTGGTTTAAATTATATTATCTTCAGTTAAATCTACCATTATACAATTTAAAACGATTATATCATGAGTTAATAACAATAGTAGTCCTACTAGGCTCCTGGACAGCATCCTGAACAGCCATTTTACACTGATGAGTAGTATATACATAATATGCATGACACTTTTCACATTTTTCAACCCAGAAAAGATACCACAATAAAGATATAATATAATAAATGGTGGTACTCGTCTAATATGCTACCTACCATAAAATGGTATCTACCAAAAAACTGTATGCGTGTAGTATGCTACCTACCGTAGTTATTTTTATTTTATTTCATTTTATTACAGGAAAGTACATTTGAGTCATTAAGATAAATAACATATTATAGAAGTTGTACAAAATTATACCTTAATAGCCATTATGATATCTGATCCACCAAGACCCATGATAACTTACTGTTAGATATATTGTTTTAGTCTATATTGTGTCTGTGTTGTGTTTGTTGCGCGTTTTACTTTTTATTTTTTTTATTTTAAAATAATGCATAATATATATACAGGGTGATTTTTTTATCGTGAACCAGTTAATATTTCGGGAAGTATTAGTAATTTTAAAATAACTTTTTTTTTAAACTTTCTAGGTTTTACTATTTTACACTGCGTTACAATTTTGAAAATTTTAACATCCTCCCTTATTTGATAAAACACTATCAACTTTCGATTTTCAAATGGCAATACCTATTTTCGATAACGAAAATCTATAAACATACTGAAAAAAAAAAATTTAACGTTTACAGAATTTAATTTGAGTAAACCGTTTACGACTTATTAATGCTGAAATATTCGTTAAATTTACTGCTACTGGGCAATTTAACAACCCAACTGTAAAAACAAGAAGTCAAAACGAAATTTTATCTCAATTTAACAATATCCATAATAATCGATAATAATCGGTTATAAACGATAATAACTAATAAGTACAATAGTACAAAGGTCACACGAATTGGACCTTAATATCTTATCACCCCTCCCAGCCGAACACATCCGATTGTCCAGTGAAATAGTGAATACCATTGAACTATTTACTATATAATAACTGGAACGCTCACCGCCCATATGACTAATGTAAATAAAACCGAGCGAGTGTGTTAGAAAGAGATAGCGAAACTTTAGGTATTTCTATCTCTGTCTTTATTGATAACACGCCGTACTGTATTCATTTTCAATGTTTACCGGCATAAAATATATTGTGATTTGTGGATTTTGTGATCGACGTCCGTCAATTTCAGTTTTTTGTTCTTTCTGATAGAATTGACGTGTACCTACCTATATTCTAGTCTATAGGTACAACGGTGAATTTTTGTAGTGCGTTTAACTGTTCCAGTTCAAGTGATATTAAAACTGAGTTAATATTTCACAAGTTAGTATTAATGTTAATTGTGGTTGATTATTAAGTAATTATATTTATTGTACTATTAATTTAAGTTATAGGCCCCTATATAATTATATAAATTATTTAACTTTGTAAATTAATCAGGAAAGAAGCGGAAGAAGTAATGTATTATTTTGTTTCAATCAAATTTAAATTGTTTATTATATTACAAGAAAAATGTCAGGATAAAGATACAAATCCTTAGAGGCAGTGCTAAACCTAGAAATCAGGAAAGAAGAGGAAGAAGTAATGTATTATTTTGTTTCAATCAAATTTAAATTGTATTTTATGTTACAGGAAAGAAGAAGAATATACAAATCCTTCCAGGCAGTGTGGAACATAGAATACAATTTTGGGGAGGTTTTGTATCATAAATACCAGGGGCAAAACTAGGGGGGAGGTTGTGACTCCCTAACATTTTTATATATGAGCCTAAATTATTTTCTAACATGCATCATCTATAAATAAATGCTAAACAATTTAATTTGTAATTTTAAGATTTTAATCATAAACCCGACTTAACCATAATCCCTCTTCAGCACCAAACACCTGCCGAAAATGAATTATTTTCAAATTCTTTATCTTCCTATCTCCCCCCCCCCCCCAGTACAGCAAATATTTTATATAATATTATTAATTATTACATTTAAAATTTTTTCATAAAAACTAATACATTTTGAATGGAAAAACAAATATATAGTTAGGTATTTCATATTTTAGACATTAATTGTATTTCATTCTGTTTCTGTACATTACATTTTTTAAATAAATAAATAAGTAAATAATTTAAATATATCAACAACAGGGTTTTATTGCTAAAAAAATATTAATTGGTTGTCAATTTATCAAGCGGACAGTTTAATTTCCGAATGCAGGTAAGATTTAATGCTAATTAATCCAAATATGCATCGTATTATATGTATATATACGTATATTTTTATTGAAAATAAATATCTCGTAGTTCAATAATTATGATTCAAGCGTCAAGCCGCATAAATAGCGATATAAAATAAAATTTTGCTTTGGCGCCGTATGTTAAACAAGGATAGATACTCCTAATATATACGCTATATCTTTTTAACATCCTCCCTCGGGCCACACTGCGCGGTGAGCGTTCCAGTTATTATATAGTTCAATGCTGTCTACATATTGTTGAATATATTTAACTTTTTTCTAGATTTGATTTTAGTAGTGTTTTGACAGTGTACTAGTGTAGTAGTCTTGACTATGTTGTATTTTATTTATTTATCTCCTCATCAAAGTAATAATAATTTAATTAAAATTAAATCATATATTACAATCGATAAAATCCAACCGATACGTCAAAACTGTTGTACATTGAAGAAACTTAAAAGATCCACTAGAGTGAAATCCAAACCAAAATATTATCATCTTGAGTTCACTAATTAAATCAATACTGTAGGTACTCTTCATCATGGAAGGCGTAATAGTCAAATCAATATTCAGCATACATCAACAGAATAAAAAAAACATTTATATTGGATACCTTGTTGATCAACCTTTATCTGTAATTATTTTATTCATGTGTAACGTAACTGAACGTTACCTATCTAATAATAAATGTATTTCAATGGAATAAGTTTATATCTGATGATAGTTTTAATACAATTGTTCGTTCTTTATCCACTGTTCAACATTCAAAACGATTACATTTGGATAATAATTTTTATTATAAAATACGTGCAAAATCTGAATCAGTTAATTTATATCATAATAATGACAGAATCACATTATCCAGTGATAATTTAAATCGATTGAAATTATTGGAACCATGTATAAATGCAAATATCATAGAGTTAACAAATAAATTAGTGATGTATCAAACTGTTTTCAATAATGCATGTATAATTATCAAGTATGATATTTTATATTTATTACTTGATTGTATTAGAAGTGATTTTATCAGTACATATATTAAAGATTATAATTTTAAAATGGATGATCTGAAGGATGAAGAGATATCATTTTTACTCGATCTACAACAAATACATCATGGAAAGTTTGCAGACATTGTATTAAAGCCTGACATAATCAATCAATAAAAACCAAATAATCATTATTTGATTTATTACATTTTAATTATTCATTTTTATTTTACTAAAATTGTATGACGTTGTTATTATATTGTGTTTAATTCTGTTGTATATTATAATATTATATCTTTAATCATTAATATTGTTTTTTTTTTTATTTTTATTTATTTTTTGATATTTGTTGTATCTGTTAATAAAATAGTTATATATTTCACAATGATTCGTCTTTTTATTTCAAAAATATAATAATAAATGTATCATAGCTATTTGTTTATTAATTTGATTATACATAATAATATCATCATTTTTTTATATAACACAATTGCCAAATACATATAACTTTATTTAAGGGTGATACAACATGTAAATTAAAATAGAATAACTGTGTAGTCTTATTATTGATAAGATTCAATTTGTTTATCATCATTACACATAAATTTATCCATCATCAAATCTTGTAAATTATTGAATGCTAATATTATTGCATTGTCCGCTTTATCTTTTTCGTTGAGTATAATTTTTGAGTTAAATGTACTGGTTTTCCATCTATTTAAAAATCAAAATAATGGATACATATTATAATTAATTATATTTGTATATTATCATAGATATATTATTAAAATTAAATATACTACACATCACAATTGTTGTTACCTCTCTTTTGACTCTACTTTTTCCATATCGGATTATAATCTAAATTATCCCTCGTTATAACTATAATGCTGACTTGTATATTATGTGAATAGGCGTGAACAACTTGTTGTTTCCACCTTTTGATCTTAGTTTCCTATTACTAAGCTTTTAATGTAAGGATAAAAATACATACATTATATTGATTTATATTATGACGTGCAACAATGACTACTTGCAATGCCATATTTATGCAAGGACAAATGGGACATTTGCACTGGGCCCACTCGAAAGAGGGGCCCACCGACTTCAGCCTTATAAAATTAATTATATACCATTTTTATCATATTCTGGGAATTTTACTTGGATATTTTTGTGGGTATTAAGTATAATGAGGATTTCGCGATAACTACTGTTTTAATCAACATTGACGATAACAAAATCTAATTGCCGTTATTATCGTCGTAATATCATATTGTAATAATATATTAATAATAATCGTAATATAATTCTATTGACGTTGTCTTGCGTAGTTGTGTGGTGCATTTTGTCCCGCGTTTTACGTCAATCGTTTTTATTGTATATTTATAATTTAAAATGTCAAAAAAATATTTAAGTGGTTCAATGAAAAGAAAATTGAAAGATAAAAGAGATCAAGAAACAAAAAAATTACATAATTAACATAAAATTTGATATATCTTATTATTCTTTTTTTTTTATTAGCTTTTAGTATAACTATTACAGCTCAGTATTCTTATTCTTATTTATTGATATTTAACTAACCACAAAAAACATTTCTATGATCTAAAAACCTGTCGTTCAATTGGGTTATAAAACTATCAATGAATGGAATGCATATGGTAACTCGATATTAGGCTTCAGGATCTAAAGGACCATTTTCATTTGTTAATGGATTATCTCTATGTTTTTGCCTCTTATTCAAACGATCAACAGAAATGGTTATATCCAAAAAATCTGCCATACTCTAATAAAATGTAAAACCAAAAAATGTATTGACTTAATGAAAGAAAGATACAGGGTTAAAATTTAATTGTATAAGATAGTTACTTTGGCATTTTCAAACATCTTACGAAATTCAACTTCTATATTTTCTCTTAGATTTTTTAGAGCTTTCACATTGTCACTAGCTAACTCAACCGCTTCTCTTAAATCTATTTTTATTTGTTGAAGTTGTTTGCATAGAAGCAAACCATAAGAAAATAGAACCTAAAATAAAAAATAACTGATAAATATAGAAAACTAATTATGTGAATGGTACAAAATAATAATTATTATAAAATTCATAAAACTATTTGTTAACTGTTAGATAAAATACAAAGAAAGATTTCAAACAAGAATAAGAAAACTAGCTCCCTTAGCACTATTTTTACGTTGTGCGGCACACTCGTTAAACCTGGTCGGTGTTCATGCAGTTGAAAATTGTAACGGTGCAGTTGAATATTTTAGTATAATTCAATCTGTTTATAACTTTTTTTCGTCTTCAACTCATCGTTGGAAACTTTTATGTGAACATCAAAAATGTAATGAAACGCTAGCTATTAAATCGTCTTCACAAACACGGTGGTCCGCAAATGCTGATATTTTATCTATTTTGTTAGAAATATCTCAAGATAATAATGAAAACGGCAATACTCGGTTTGATGCAATGAACATTTTGAAAAAATTGAAAAAAAGGGAAACCGCTATATTAACTATAGTATGGCATGTTATATTACAACGAATAAATATAACTTCAAAAAGTCTCCAGAGTTCAACAGAAAATTTGTTTTCAATAATGCCCTTATACAACTCCTTAATAGATTTCATACAGTATGTTCGAGAACACTTTGATGATTATGTAAGCAAATCTATAGAACTTTTAAATAAGGATATTGAGATAACATCGAGGGATTAGCCACACTCTCAACTCCACGCGACACCCGCAAGCGAACGGTCAAGTGGAACGAGTCAATCGTACACTTTTGCCGTTACTCAGCATGTCGACCGCGGACCAACGTCGATGGGACACGCACGTCAAAGACGTCGAGCGCATGTTGAACACCGCTGTCAACAAGACGACAACTAAAACTCCGTACGAGGCTCTTCACGGCTATCTGCCCCGATACCGGCCCAGCGCGTTGTCTACGCTGAGTCGCACCCGAAACGAAAGTCAGCCACCCACGGAAGTGCAAGCAGAAATACGCGAAAACATATTGCGTGGACAAGCCAAGATGAAAGAACAGTATGACCGGAGACACTACGAAGGCGTGCGATACGAAGTCGGCGAAGTTGTCGTTATGCTGAAACAACCCACGGCGGGCCAGCCGACAAAGCTACAGGCCAAGTACCGTGAGAAGCCATTACAAATAATGAAGGTTCTCCCGAGCGATACGTACCGCGTCGCGGAACTGGGTACCGACGGGCACGAGACGTTCGCGACTACCGCTCATGTGTCACAACTCAAATCCTGGCGGATTCTCCGCGAAGACGACGACGAAGTACCACCAGAGGACGGAAACGCCGACGAGTCATTGTCCGACGACGAAGTACCACCAGAGGACGGAAACGCCGACGAGTCATTGACCGACGACGAGGTCCAATCCGACACCACGGGCATGGCCGCCAAGATGCAACCAACCGTCGACGCGGAACCGGTCCAACGACAGTCCACTAGGAAGCGACAGGTACCCGCGCACCTCGGCGAATACGAGTTAGGTCGTCCGTGAACAGTCCGCATCTTTATTTTATATTCATTCGAGCGGGTATATTAATTTTGCTTTGTATATAATCCATACACGATTCGGTCGAATCGGATATTTAGTTATTTGAAAATTTGTTTAATTATTTTGTTACCTGAAAATTTGTTTAATTATTTTGTTACCTGAAAATTTGTTTAATTTCAATTTTGTAAACGGCCCGGGGACGGTCCGATTGTAGGAAGGCCGATTGTAAGCTATATTTTTGCCTAACGCGGCAACACTGTCGGACGGCCCTTCCAGACCGTCTCCGAGCAGTGAGTACACTCAGTACTACACTGCTGCTTCCTGTTTCGTCGTATACGCCGGGCTCGACGCATGTGCCCGCGCACCGAACCGCCGTAGCTGTAAACCGTTAGCTCTAAGCCGTTAGCTCTAAGCCGTCGTGTGTTTTTTATAGTTTTCTTAAATAAACCATATTCGTCGCTAATTAACTAAAACGTTGTTGATTAGACTCATTATCCTGACACCACCTTCCTTATTATTTATTCGCTTACACTTTGTACGACTAGTCATTAATATATACACTAATGGAATAACTAAGCTACGTGTGTAACAATGAATTGTATATAATTGTGAAAATATCGAGGGAACAGATTTAAAAGTTCCGTCACCAAACCAGTCATCTGTTTCTTGAAGCATATTTAAATTGTACTGAGTAGTAAAAATTAAAATTCTGCTTTCACTACTACCACTATCGTATGCCAAAAATGTTTCGTTTTTGTTAGTCAATTTATATATTTCAGGAATAATTAAGTCTTTGGTATTACTTGGATTAACTGGAGCATTTTCTTTTATTACTCGAGTCCGTTGAATAGTCCTTGACAATGATTTTATAATAGGAAATTGTCCAATTACCTGAACAGAAGTTTGACCCAACACATTTGAAATTATATTTCTTGTAGAAGTTATTTCTGTTATAGCAATATCCTTTATAGTATTCACCAGTTCTTTGGCCTCAATTTTGGCTAAATTTGGAGCATGCGAATGATCAGTTTCTTTTAAAATCGATCCTACGAAAAAAAAAAACAAAACATTGTATGAAATGTGGAATGTACAATTTGAAATAAAGTCTACATCAAAATAATTAATTAATGTTTTATTTTATAAATAAATATAATTAATTAAATTCTATTAATTTAGTATACAAATTTAAGTACATATCCGTTTCGTCTTTCGTTGTTGTGTGACATCGGCTTTTACATGACAACTTTTTATACTCGGTACAACGCCATACTAATTTTGTTTCATACACATCATGAATACTAAATAAAAAAACCTTTATTAATAAGCATATTTTTGCCTTTTTGGCTTTTTATAAATGTAAGTGGCATTATTTAAAGTTAACGTTATTCATACACGTTTGTAAACGGCTAGGTGTTCACATGTACTAAAATCGAAAAAAACGGATGTATCGCTATCTCCAACATAATAATAATTTATATCTGATAAATCGTTGAGAACTGATTAGATTCGTTAATTTGTGGTTTTTCTGACCGTTTTCTGTATATAAGGTAGATTATATATATATAATATATAATATAATATATATATATAGGGACTATTATTGATTATTTTTCTAAAATACTATACGTACTATACTATACTATACATTTTTAACTAACTAACTAATTTCTATATATTTATTTCATATTTATTTTCATAACTAATTTTTATATATTTATATTCTATATTTTTTTTATAATGACGTTTTTAAAAATTATGAAAGTAAAATAACAACTAATTAAAAAAAAACTATATATTTATATTTTATATTTTTTTGTTACCGGACATTTTTTAGCAGGATATTTTTGGTACAAGTTCTTTTTGAACCGGATCAAATGTCGTGGATCAATTGTCGCCGGATATAATTTACCGGACCAAATGACGGGTCACGATATCTATCACCACTATGTATCAAATAACACACATCAGTAGTGAATATGTTAGTCTGTTGTATAAATAAAGTAAAATAATGTATTGAGCACTACGAGAAAACACTTATGTTTGGTTGAATGAACTATTAAATCCAACAACAATAACTTGATAGTTATAACTTGAGTTTATAGTCGGTACAATATTAAATATCTAATATTTTTTTTTGTGCATTGAACGTCAAATCAATACTCAAAGCTTAACCTAACCTTAATAGGTAAAATCTTTTACATTGTAGTATAATCTAAAATTGTCATTGTAGTAAACAGATAAACTGAATTTTAACTTTAAAATCAAGAGCCAATCAAAAAACAAATAAATTCACAGAAGAATGTATAATTGGTTGCGCATTCATACATAGTTAAAATCTTTCTAACAACAATAACTTTGAAACATTGTAAAAACGTATTGCAATGTATAACAGTAAGTTTTCTTTCTAAGAGTACTACATATCTAGTACACAACTTACAAATGACCTAGGTCAGTTGTAAGTAATGGTGGTAGTAGTAGTAGTAGTAATAGGTAGTAGTAAGATGTAAGAAAATGTTGAAGTATTTTGTTCATTGGTTGTGTTGTGAATACCCATGAAAAAAATTAAAATACAAAGAGTTGAACTTTTATTTTAACGGTTGTGTGTTCATACACAACAGTAAGTGTATGTACTCATTTGCAATAAGTGCATTTATATGAAATTATTATATTATGATAAGCTGAATGTAAGGTATATGTTACACTAATAAAATCATACATGGTCTCCAATGTGATAAAATCAAGTACACCTATATCTATCACCACTATGTATCAAATAACACACATAAGTAGTAAATAATATGTTACACTGTGTTACAAATAAAGTAAAGAAAGTGATGAACACAACGATAAAACACTTATCCAGTACCTACACAATTCACAAAAAAAGGAGAGTTTTGTAAAGAGTCTAGTAATAGGTACCTACTTTGTGTAGTAGTAATATTAAGAAAATGTTAATTTATGTAACGAATCGTGAAGTATCCTGTTTAGGTCAATATGCCCATAGTAAAAGTTGATATATAAGTATTGTTGTAAGTTAATCTAGGTATCAAATTTTAGTCAATGTATGAGCTTGACCCAGCGTTTGTTATGCAACTGAAATCTGAAACAGTGGCAACACAATTGAATGTCGTTCAAGTTACCTAGGTATTCTACAATTTGCTTTCTAAACATACAATTATAATATAATAAGCTGAATGGAATTCTTATGATAAAATAGACATTTAGTTTTCAAGAATGTTGTACTGAGCCAGTACAGTATTGTAAAGTATGAGTAGGTATAGCAGAGTAACCTAAGTTATGTACAGAAAAAGATCACAGTGAATATTAACACGGAATAAACGTAAACAAATCTATTGTATTAACTTTTGAAAGAATATAAACATTTCTAAGAGTACCACATGTTAAATGATTAAATGCCTATCTAGTACACAACTTACAAATGACCTAGGTCAGTAGTAAGTAGTGGTAGTAGTAGTAGTAGTAGTAAAAAAGAGTGTGTTGTTCATACATAATTTAATATAATCTTGTGTTGGTTAGGTATTACTGTAACAATAACAAACATTAAAAAACTCTATAACAGTAAGTGTAGTATACTCATACGCAGTACCTAAGTGCATTTATATGAAATTATATAGGTATTGAAATCTCATAAACATGTCTAAGAGTACCTACCACATAAAAGTTAAAAAAACGGTGAGTTGAACTTTTAATGGTTATGTGTTCATACATATTGAATATAATCTTGTGTTGGTTAGGTTTATTTATTACATGATAAGTTGATCGTAAGGTTTATGTTACACTAATAAAATCATACACTTATTTTTTAAAGAGTCTTCAATATCACCACTATAATATATCTAATAACACACATCATTAGTAGGTAAATAATATGTCACACTGTAGTACAAACAAAGCTAGTTTTATAAATAAAGTAAAAAAAATGTGTTGAACACTGTTGTTTAGTAGTAATATTAAGAAAGTGTAGGTAAGACACTACTTGTTGTCATTTTGAATGTGAAATGATAAAATAAAGGCGAGTAGACCTAGGTACTAAGTAAGCTGTAGTATTAGTATTTCGTATCATAATCATGTGTAACTACTGTAAATATTATTATTATCTGTAATATGCAAACTTTTATTGTAATTTATGTAGATGCTGTTATTTAATTAATATTGTTATGTAATTTAATTAAACGATGGCGGACCGGCGGGAAAGCAAAGCATATAGGCAGTCCCCCACCAGGTTGGACGATTCAGATAAAAAAAAAAAGTAGTAGTAGTAATATTAAGAACTGTCTAAGTAAACGTTTAAGTATTTTGTTTATTGGTTGTAAATACCCATAATAATGAAACAGCAATATTGTTTGTAATTTTTTAAATAATAAAAGCAATAACAAAAAAGAGTATAATTTAATACAGAATGTTAACCAACAACAATAACTAAATGCAAGTAGGTACCTTTTGGATTTGGTTTGCACTCTAGTAGGTATAGTACCAAACTGTAGCCATTGTAAAATACCTGCCACCTGGGTATATTCACACTTTATGAGTTGTCAAACTATAACGTATAGTAATGTAATGATCAAGTGAGCGAATCGTATGCAGTAGGTGCAGCCCGGCACTATTTGTTCAGTACAGCGGTCAAATGTAGTATTTTGGTTGTTACTCAGTGCCGTAACTAGAGAGTCAAAGGCCCAGGTGCAAAAAAAATTCATGGGCCCCTCTTTCTAGAGATACATAAAAAAGTTTATTGATAAAAAAAACTTGTAAAATAAACTACATAGGTAGATAAAATAAATAAATTACAAAAAAAAAATAATAATTTTAGTTTTCATGACAACAGTTTTCATTATAACACTAGAAATAAAAATAAAAATAATTATAACTATCATTATATTATAATAATACACCTATTACATATTTTATAATGTTTAATTATTAAAAAAACATTTTTTTCCGAGCTTTTGCATTTGCAAAATCATCAATAACCTTTTTGATATTAATTTCATCAGTACGACCTCTTTCAATACTTAATACTGATATATAACTTAATCTTTCTTGGGAAGTAGAATTTCTCAAGTAATTTTTTATCAATTTAAGTTTGGAAAAAGATCTTTCAGCTGAAGCCACAGTTACAGGAATCGTCAAAAAAATTATACAAGCTGTTAGAACATCACAAAAAGCTGTTGATAAATCATTATTCACAATAAATATTATAACATCATTAATATTTCTGATATCTGATTTATTTTTATTATAGATTGGATACTTAATAACTGTCGAGTAAAATCTGAAGTCACATCTGACTTATACAGTTGAATAAAATCAAATGAACATTTTATTAAATCATTTTCTTCAGTACTTTTAAGAAAGGTTGGATTTAAAAATTCAAAAGTCGATGCGATTATTTTTAATCCTTTAAATCTAGTTTTTAGTTGTGCTAAAGCAGTATCTACTACTGGATAAAATATTTTAATTCTAAAGTTTTCTTCTGTTATATTCAATCTTCTATCACCATCGATTTCGTCATAATGTAATTTGGTGAATTGTTGGCGTTTTGATGGATATTTAGATGAAATACCCCATTTAGAACACAAATCATTGGCAATATTAACAATGTCATTGTAATTCTGTCTCAATTCTGATAATGATCCAACTGCTTGCTCAAGGAGACCACAAGAAGTTTGAATATTTATATCAACACTTTGTAATACTTTTGAAACACCTTGCATACTTCTCAATACTCTTTCCCACAAACATAAAAGTAAAATAAATTCTACAGAATCCAATTTGGACCGTATACTTTTGCTAACATTTCTTTCATCACCATTAGTAGTTGTAAGAGTAATTTTTGTTAATGTGATCAAGACATCATTAAATCTTTCTTTTAATGCAAATATAGCTTGGTGTCGAGCTTCCCAACGTGTAGCGCATACTTTTTTAAGAACAGTTTTATGAACTTTTAAGGTATTTTCTTCTCCTAATGCTAATAAAGCCCATCTAGGAGCTGAACTGCTAAAAAAATTGAAAACTGCTTGTACAGTAGTAAAAAAAACGTCGAACTGTGTCTGAACTTTTAGCAGAGTCACAAATTACCAAGTTCAAGTTGTGAGCACAACAATGAACAAAATGAGCATTTGGTACTATGTGTTGAATACGTTTTTGAACACCACTATAAATACCACTCATCACTGCGGCACCATCATATCCTTGACCACGACATTTAGAAATATCTAAACCTAATTGAGAAAGGACATTTATTATGAGCTTTGTGTAGTCTTCGGCACCATGATGATCAATTGTATAAAACCCAAGAAATGACTCTTTTATACAAACAGTATGCTTAGTATAATCAATAGTAACGTAACGAATTATGATACTGACTTGGTCTAATTTTGTAATATCTTGAGTTGAGTCAACAATTATAGAAAAAAAAGTAGAAATTTTTATTTCATCACAAATGATTTTCTTTAAGTTACCTGATAAAATTTCAATTAACTCATTCTGAATAGCTGGACTTAGATATTTAATATGGCCATCTTTTTTATCAAGAAGTGTTCTTAAAAGTGGGTCAAATTCTGCAAATAGTTTTACTGTTCTAAGAAAATTTCCCTCCCAAAATTGCTTGGTTTCATTACCACGGAGTGCCAAATTACCAGCAGTAAGACTTAAAATTATTTTAATTATTCTTTCCAAAACATCTCTCCAGTATTTGGCTTCATTAGAAATTTGAAATTCTAACTCTTTATCAATAGTATAGTTATTTGTCCATACAAGTCTAAGTTGCATTGCATCTAAATGAGGACCTGATATTTCATGAGAAATTATTTTTTGGGACAAATGTTGCCAATCATCAATGCCTTCAATCCATTCTGACTTAAAGTTTCGATGATTGTAATCAACAAAAAGCCAGCATGTTTCACAGTATACTTTATCTAATTCAACAGAGTAACAGAGCCAATGACGGGGAATTAGAACACCAGTTTTAGTTTTCATATTGTAATAGTCAACTGAAAATTTTCTATTTTTGCCATGTATAATTCTGTATGGAAACTGTATTAACGGTCTACAAGGACCATAAGTCAAAATGCTTCGTTTAAGTTGGCTGTCTATTATAAGTCCTTTAAAATGTCCTCTATCAGTTGGATAATCTAACTTCAAGTTTAATTCTAAATGTAATAAAATAAAAATAGTTAGGTACCTACTTGATTTACAAATAATTTATTTTTTTAAAAATGTAATGTATTTTGATTAGTTTACCTGCAGTAGAATCTATAATATTTTCATTTTGAAGATCAGGTGACAAGAATAATCCACCATGATCATTTGATTTTGATGCACCAAATTCTGAATCTTGATTTTCTTGAAATACATCTTTATTACACATTTACACATAAAAAGGTGTATATTAGTTAAGTAAGTTGTAAAATAGTAGAAAATACACAAATTGCTTATTCCTACTTAAAATATATAAATATAACATACATAACATTCAACATTGACTACACAATTATATTATTTTAAATAAACAATATTTTTTTAAAAATATAATGTATTTTGATTAGTTTACCTGCAGTAGAATCCATAATATTTTCATTTTGAAGCTCAGGTGACAAGAATAATCCACCATGGTCATTTGATTTTGATGCACCAAATACTGAATCTTGATTTTCTTGAGATACATCTTTATTACACATAAAAAGGTATATTTAATTTTAATAGGTAAACCATACACAATGTTTAATTTATGTTAACATAATTTAATTTAATATCCATTAAATAATATTTTTTTAGTTACAAAATGTAATAGTTACCTACTACCTATCTAATTAATTTTTGATAAATTTAATTTTCACTTTCTAAGTTTGACTAGAATAAAACTTTTAATTTAAATACCATTAGTGATATTATGCATCATAAGCTTAATTTTAGCAATATATAAACATTTTAATATTATTATATACAATAGAATTCAAAGTACTCACCGTACTACATTCAGATATCCAGACGTTGAGCAATTTATTTTTTAGATATTATCGATATAATAATTAAATTATTTCCACTTACCTATTCTAGAGACAACAGCTGGGATTGAAGAAAAAAAGTTATTGATTTTAGGTAGTTTTGACACCTTTTCTTGAATTTCTTTTTTTTTTTTTCTTTTTTGAAATCCACTTAAACATTTTTGATTATCAGACATTTTTGAATCGTTTTCTTGACGTTCGCGTACTAATCGTAGATAGTTTAATAAAAACAAAACACTTTAAATGAACAATATTATAATGACCTATGAATAGTGACTTCAATTTGTGTTTGTGTATACTGTGTAGGCGTGTAGCACACTAGCACTAAGACTACACTAACAGTTAGTAGTTAGTTTTCGGCAGGGGCGTCATTTCACATTTTAAACTGAGGTGGCAAGACGTATCGGGTGGTAAGGAATACTCCCTGGTGAAAGGGGGTCCGAGGGATATTCCCGCCCCCTTCCCGATTTTTTTTTTTCAAAAACTGGCTTTAAATTTCTTATTTTTTGAAACTCATTCAGACTATTTCTGTAAAAATTTAATTGCTAACAATTTATCCTAAAAAAAATAATTTATAATGACTTGAATTATTAATTAAACCACATGTAAAATAATTATCGGTCACACACAACATAAAAATGTACCTAATTTTAATTTATGTGTGCCTGGCCCATTTGCTTATAAAAAAAAGGATAAATCAAGTAAACATGATAAAAAATTTTTTTTTTAATTTATAGCATACTTTAATTATTTTTACACAAAATTAAGTCTTCTCTTCTGGCTTAAATTAAAGTTGTCGATTACTTTGGAAATGTTTACTTCAATACTTCTTTCAATAGCCAAAAGTGCTAACGAGGACAACCTCTCCTGGCCAATCTTGTTTCTGGTGTATGTTTTTAACCGTCGCAAGCACGAAAAAGACCTCTCACAAGATGCCGAGTTCATTGGAATCGTGAAAAACAGACGAAAAAGTTTAAAAAGCATAGGGAACACATTTTTTAAAGATTTTTGTACAAAAATGTCAGCTCTTTCTTGAATAGTTGTGTTTCTTGATTCTTCCATTTTATAGAAACATCTCAATTCAGACAAAAGATGTTCATTGTCTAAATTGTAATATTTACACACATACTTAACACTGGCCGTATCTTCATCAGTTCCACCTAGAACTTTGCTTAGATTGTTAAGTACATCCAGGTTGTTTTCTTGAAGTCTGGCCTCTATCTCCTCGCTTAGGATATCAATAACTGGCCAGACAATTGAAATTTTGTAGTACTGCTCTACAGATTCAAATGGGGCTTTACTCCCTCCCCCAATTCTCGAGGGGATTTTTCCCTGTCTTCGTAGCTGAGCAGCTCTAAATCCGCACTTGTCAGCGATTTCTGTAGAGTGATTGAACAACTTTGAGAAAAACTCATCTGTTCTAAAGGATTTCAATACTTCAAGTGTGCTGTTTCTTACAGATTTCACAATTTCGTAGGTAACACTGCTTGACTGAAGAGTTTTTGATAGTATGTCACATTGTGCTAGAACTCTCTTCAGTAATAGCAGGTCAAATACGAAGTTGAATTCTTCCAGATTTTTCAACAAAGCATTGGCTTGCCCACCACTGTCAGGATCCGTATCAGAAATTTCTCGTAGAGTTGTAAGAGTGGTATCAAAATTATCTAATAAAGAACCGATAACTTCCCAGGAAACTAGTACCGTAGCGCGACGTGTGGTATCGTTATCGCGATCCTAATAATGACTATAATTTTTGTATATATGAACATGTATATTTTGTCATGATAGATACCTACAATTATTCTAAAAATATATTTCTTTAAAATATTTAATTATTATTTTTACTATCGATGAGAATTATACTATATTTCATTTACAGGGTATTTTTCAATTAGGTATTTGTAATTTATTGAGACTTTTACTTCAAAATTCTGGGGTGACAAAATACTGGGTTTGAGAATTCTGGGGTGGCAACTGCCACCCCTTGCCACCCCCGAATTACGCCTATGGTTTTCGGCATTAACCGATTAATCACTGTTTTGCATTTTATTTTTAGCCTATACGTATATGGTATATGAAAGGGAATGGTAAACAAGCCGACCCCACGTAGCGTCTCCAGCACGATTTAAGATAGTACAAACAATTTGTTAGTGTGTGTGTTAGTAGCGGTATCGCGATATCACGTATAATAATCAACAAATCTATTTATGTTACTCTTGGCTTAGTAAATTTCCCAATATTTTGATTAACAATTCCTAGTAACGGACCAGGCTATTAGTTTTTACATTGCCTTTTATGAAATTAAATACAAGATAATAATACAATTATTATGAATTAAATTTAAAAAAAAAATTTACATCTATCCGACCAAGGCCCCAAGGGCCCTTTGACCCTGGGGGCCCCAGTGCTGTGCACCGCCTGCACCTATGATTTTTACGGCACTGTACTCACTACTGATGGCACTGCTCCAGCAATGAGTCGATGGCGAAATACCGCCCCTGCGTAATCACGACCAGGAATGAAATGCCTTGAACAAAGCTTGGAGTTATTCGATATCCGTAGAGGATTGACACCATTGTTCTCGGCGAACATCACCCACTGACGCTTCTGAAAGACATTCGCTGGAAAACTAATACAATAATTATTGTATTATGAATTATTATGTATTTTAATCTCAAAAGTAATCGTATATATTATGTAAATGCACTTACCCATGCACTGAAACGCCATCGACGCCATCCACGTTGCCACAAATCGCACAATGCTTGACCTTCGTTATATTTGCCTAAAAAGATATAGAATAACATTTTGAAAAGGTAACGGCCAAACATTTTATATATTACAGTAAAACCTCTGAATAGCGGACACTCACGGGACCGACCAAATTGTCCGCTATTGAGAGGTATCCGCTATTGGGAAAAATTGATAAAATAATATGTATGTATTTATGTCTGAAAATTTAAATTTTATTGACTTTTTAAACATTTATTTATCATTACATAATTTATTATAATTAGACGTAATAAAATTTTATTGACTTTTTAAACATTTATTTATCATTACATAATTTATTATAATTAGACGTAATAAAATTTTATTGACTTTTTAAACATTTATTTATCATTACTAATGCTCGGATTTAAATGCCCTAAAAATATCAAAAAAGTGCCCTTAAAAAAATGCATTTATGACCTAAAAACTCTAAAAAATGCCCTAAAAATATCAAAAAATGACGTTTCAAAAAATGCATTATTTATTAAATAAATTCAAATTTAATTATTATTAAAAAATGAGGAACAAAGTAAGTACCTTCGACGTAATACGCAACACGACTGAAAGCGTCCGACAATCGGCCACACGCACCACCGATATAATATTATCGCTCGATAAGAAAATAATCCGATAATATCGGCTAATTGGATGGTGTGACATAAAGATTGTAAAAACCGGAAAACCTGATGTTAAATTAGTTCAAATAGTTCTGTAACGTATGTTACATCATTACGTTTATTTTATAAGCATCATAATATGCACATTAGGCATATTATGCGCTGACTGTAATAATATATTAAGCCCCTCCGGTTTAGGTGACACATATATATTTTATGATTGTAAGGCTCCGGCCAATATCCCTATGTAAGAGAATACCAGTTCTCCGCGAGTCCATCACGTGCACCTGAACTCCGTACAATCCTACATTTTTGGTAACTTTGTTCGTAAATTGTAAGTTATAATAAATAATTTGTTTATATTAATAATAATTTAGATCAATCGTTATTTATTTGTAATATTAAGATCCTAATACCATTCGTGCTCCCGAGCTACGGTAAAAATATATTCAAAAGAATTAATTTCTTCCCTGAATATCTTATATTTAACGGGCCATCCCCGACCACGTTACATATTGGTGGAGGCGCCGAAGCTCTTAAGTAGTTGAAGTTACAGATATTTACGATTGGTTTAGATTTTTATTTTGTTATTAGTTATTAAGTTTGGTTAATTGAAGCGTAGGAAAATAATAAAATTAAAGTGTAGCCGTGTTAAGAATAATTGAGATTTTTTTTTATTATTTAAGATTAATGATATACATGATATATATTAAGTATTAAGAATAAGAGTAAAAGAATTGAAAGAATTACGGGATTAGAAAATTTATGTATAGGTACCTTATAATTTTAATTTTCATTTAATTTTTTTTTTTGGATATTTACGAGATTTTGTGTTCTAAGAATAGGAGTAAATTACATATAGGGGTTATGTTATCAGAGAAATTATATAGTAAAAATAAAAATTAGGTAGTTGAATTTTATTTGGATAGTTACGAGATTTTAAGTTTTAAGAATAGGAGTAAATTACATATAGGGGTTATGTTATCAGAGAAATTATATAGTAAAAATAAAAATTAAGTAATTGAATTTTATTTGGATAGTTACGAGATTTTAAGTTTTAAGAATAGGAGTAAATTACATATAGGAATTTTGTTATCAGAGAAATTATATAGTAAAAATAAAAATTAAGTACCTAATTGAATTTTTTGTTTGGATGGTTACGAGATTTTAAGTTTTAAGAATAGGAGTAAATTACATATTAGTACATAATAGAGAAATTATAAGAGAATTATTTTATTGTAAGTGAACATATTAAGCAATGTTGCGATAAATAAAAGTATTTAATGGACAACAAGTTTTACATAAAACGTAACGTGAACAACCAAATAACAAAAGTGGATAGAACAAATATATTATATCTGAATGAAACTTTTAATTCCGAAATAAACGAAATTAATCTAATAAATTTATTACGGCAAATCGAAGAAGTCGATTTAGGTAACTATTTTTCAAATTCCAGGTTTGGAAAGATACCTCTGTCAGCAAAACTTGTTCAAAAATTTACACTGTGCTCTCTATACGTAGTTGAGACTTTAGAAAAGGAAGATTTTAACCAATTACCAGCACAAAAGAAATTTGAATTTATAATTTCCCAGCGAACAGTTGCGTGGATAAATTTATTAAATAAATCGGAAATAGTGGGTTTCTTAGAATTTTGTAATATACATAGTGACATTTCATCGACAATTAATGAATTAAGAAATCTTGCAAAATCAGCATTAAAAAGTTTTAGGAACGACGAAGACGACGCTGAGAATAGCTTAAACGAAACAGAATTAACTTTTACA